AGGATGTGCAGACCCAAAATAAATAAGGAAGTAGCATGTTATAGACTAACAAAACATGTAGATGGTATCATGAGCTTTCATGGGCACAACCCACTTCTTCAGATGATCGGTTGAATTTTGGATGTGCCAGACCCAAAATAAATAGGGGAGAAGGGAGATGGGGGAGGGGGAAGGAGGGAGGAAAAAAAAAGGGGGCAGGAAACAAGGAGCAGGGGGTATGAAAATATCAAAAGGAAAAACAAGTAGGCAGAGCTGGTAGTCTATAAGCACCTAAAGACTGGATAGTTAAAAGAAGCAGATAAGGATCATAGGTTAGCAATTAGATAGGAAGGGTACTAACGCACGAATCTGCGCAGACAAAGAGCTGTTGGCACCTTCACTGAATGATAGGTTGATAATGTCCCAGACATCCGTTATGTCGACTGAGGCCATTGTGAGAATTGAATTTGTGGATTAACTGTAATGCTTAAGCCTTGCTACACAGATCTAAGGCTCCACACCCATAGTTTGACATTAAGAAATAATGACGGTGAGTCTATACTGCAGGGACTGTACATCATGGCTACGTCTACACTGGCCCCTTTTTCGGAAGGGGCATGCTAATTTTGAAAGTGGGAATAGGGAAATCCGCGGGGGATTTAAATATCCCCCGCAGATTTAAATAAACATGTCCGCCGCTTTTTTTCCGGCTTGGGGAAAAGCCGTAAAAAAGCGTCTAGACTGGCCTGATCCTCCGGAATAGGGCTTTATTCCGGAGGATCGGGCCAGTCTAGACGCGTCTAGACTGGCCCGATCCTCCGGAATAAAGCCCTATTCCGGAGGATCTCTTATTCCTACTTCCTTCAAAGTAGGAATAAGAGATCCTCCGGAATAGGGCTTTATTCCGGAGGATCGGGCCAGTCTAGACGCTTTTTTTCCGGCTTTTCCCCAAGCCGGAAAAAAAGCGGCGGCCATGTTTATTTAAATCCGCGGGGGATATTTAAATCCCCCGCGGATTTCCCTATTCCCACTTTCAAAATTAGCATGCCCCTTCGAAAAAGGGGCCAGTGTAGACGTAGCCCATATGTATGGCACCACAGGGCTATGACGGCATGGCTGTAACAGACACAGCTTACAGCAATAAAAGGTTTTTTCCTGTCACTGTAAGAACACATCTCTCCAAGTGATGGAAGCTTCCAATGATCTATCTGTGTCTACACTATAAGGTCAAGTGCTAGAAGGTCAAGTGCTATAGCACTCAGGGACATGGATTTTCCATATTCCAGAGCAGTAGTGTTGGAAGGGACAATTTGTATAGGTGAGGTGCTTCCCAAACAAGAGACCCCCATTGTACAAATATGGCCTACATCCTTTGCATCTGGATGCACGCATTTATGTTTAGTCATATTAAAATGCATTGTTTGGCTTGCACTGATTTACGAAGCAATTCAGATCGCTCTGAGTCAGTGAAGACAGTATGAAAAAGGCAAGATACTACCAAGAAAATGAGGATCTCAAAAGGAAAACAATTGTATTTACAGGAATTAGTAAGTTATTATGGGACACAACACTCTTAATAAAATGAAAATGTATGTATCTATAGCAATTACGTGCAACTTTTATTCATGCCTAATGTAGCAATAGAAAAACAGGGCTTGTCTTCACATACAGTGCTGCACCAGATTTTATTAAAACTTTGCTGTTTATTTCAGCTTTCCAATTTACCTTTTTCCATCATTGCAATTCTATTACTTACCATATTTTGAATACTAAAAAATTGTGTCAAACCCTCTCTCCTATTAAGGAATAAAAATTAGCAAGTAAATTCCACTGATCAAAGGTTTTTCTAGAGTGCTTATCACCATGGCACCTAATCCCCATACACAAATGTGCTATTTATAAAATAAACTTGCTAGAAAATAGTAGTATTATTCCAGACAATTAGGACTAATCGCCCTTCTGGAGTTCACTAACCCACACATGGGAACTGATAATTTATGGGAGAACAGGGAAGGGAAAAAACAAAAACGTCTGCTAGTTTTTCTACAATTAATTTAATCAAATGAATGTTAAGCTATACCCAATGATTTTAGGCATGACTAAGCAGAGGTTGCCTGATAAAGATCTGTACTTCTTTAAGGATCATTCCTGATCCCTTCTTTTGCCTGCAGGTCAAACATGGGGACCCCTTACTGCAGCTCAGTACACAATCCAACCTTGGACTGTCTGCTTTTGCAAGACGAACTCCCAAAGAATTTCCTATAACTGGGAAAATCTTACTTTAAAATAAAATGTTAGAGAGACAGACACAGAGAGATGTAAAAAGCAAGAAAAAGAACAGCCAGGAAAAGATGAAGGGGTTGGGGAAAATGGATAATCCATACATTTTCAATCATGGAACAGCCAAAGACATCTTCTACTATATATTTGAGGGAGTTTGTCTGTCTGTTCAAGAACTCCTCAAACTCCTCGTCAACCACTCCTCCTTGTCCTTCTAGGACAACCACATTCGATATACAGCTTCCTCTGATAACTTAAAGCAAGATAAGATATTGTTTGTGCCAGGAAAATGGGATGTGCCTGGAATGGGATTGCTTCTCTCAAAACTACAC